CCAGCACTAAGCACATCAAGTACTGTGAGTGCCCTTCTGATTGATAGGGGATGTGCTTCTGCTGGAAATGACATTTTCTGGCTTTGGAGCCTTCTTTATTCCTACACAATCAGTTTTGGTCTTCTATAGGTAAGAGGGCAGGAAGGTGCTCCCATGCTGAAGATGCACATTTTTAGAAATAAGAAATACTCCAAATCTTCTGAGATGCCTTTTGTCTTGTTTTGTTTTGTTTTGTTTGAATAATTTTATAATTTATAATTAAAAATGGCTGAGATTTTTTTAGCTCATCTTGATTTTTAAGGTTTATCACTCATGAATGCGCTTTCAGCTGGGCTATTTATTAGCAACAGATTTACTAATTTAGCCTCATGGCTGTAATCCAGACAGTGTTTTCTTTTCTTTAAACCACTGAGTGTTCAAGGAAAGAAGAGCTGGGCTGTGTAGCTTACTGATGTAGTGTCATAAAACTTCCACTATTATGTGATTTATAATGTTGCAGACAACTGCTTCTGCTTTACAAAGGTTCATCTTCCTCAAAAAAATATAGATTACTGCAACTAAAATGACAGACACCTGTACTTTTTTCAGAATAAATAAAAGTGATATGCCTACTATGAGCAGCATATAGCACTGAATCAGGAAAAACAATCAGATTACCTCAGAACAATCAGTATTTATCTGCCAGTCATTGATTTATACAAAACATATAGTATAAGCAATAATACAGTTGGACTTTCAAAGACACCACATGGCTGTGATCCCATGGTAGATATACCATTGTATTACAGACCTTTCTATATCATTTAACAGAAATTCTTTGTATGTATAAGAATTACCTTGCTCACTCACCCATCTGAGAGTGGTGTATTGACTTTGGCCCCAGGCTTAGGCATTAGGCACTGTCAGGTCCTGTCCAGTTGTGCACAGAATATAATTTGTGAGCTTTGAAACCCCTGAAATGATGAGTTAATAAAAATATTGACATAATCTGTACTGGAGCATCTTAAGCATGCTGCTGTACAATAATATAATTTTTTTCCAGAGGGAAAATCAAGAATTGGATACCATTAGGTTAGCAATTATTTTTTCACTAACAGGAGAACTGTTATAATTAACACTGAGAAAATAGGCTTTAGTGACAGAAAATGTGCAAAGAACTCATTAAAATATCACACAAAGCATTTGTTCTTCTGGACTGAAAGTTCAGAGGCAGGGGGCAAGAAAAAGTCAAATGGAATGATATGAAATAGCCTGAGCCTGTGTGTCTTTGTGTTGTCATGGCATTCTAAACCATTTCTGTATGCTAATTCACTTCTTTTTCCCCCTCTCTTCTGATTTTACCACTCACACTTTACAGCTGCATTTGTCTAACTTTTTTAAAATATTTTCAATTTTTAATGTGATGTTTCCTTTTGTGAAGGGTGTCACATACCTATCATTTGAATACTGTCTACATAAAGCTGAGACAATATCTGATACCACCCTGATGGCCTGGAAGAGTTAGATGTATCAAAAGAATAATTTCATTTCCATACTCAGGTAACCTTTAGTACTTCTGTAAGTGTTCCTAAGAATCCAAATAATTATGGAGAATTTAATGACATTTGTCTAACTGGATTTTTGCACTCATATTTTCTTTTGTTTATTATTTAACCAGAAAAAATAATAAGAACAAGCTATTTACCTCTCTTTCTTCTAACTCTGTTTTAACTTATAGTTTTAGTTAAATGGAAGTCTTTAGAGTGAATTTTAGTCCTCTTTTCATTAATAATTGTTTATTTTAATTTTATTTTTTCCATTCACTCTCAGTTTTAGCCACACACAGAGGAAAAAAAAAAACTGAGTGAAAAAACCCTCAATCTATTGACATTCGTAATGTTGAACATTTTACATTTTTCAAGGACATTATCCAATTGTAATTCTCTGAAGGCTGACCCTGCACAGTCTTTTGGATCATGGAGTACTGTACATCTTTAAGGTATCATTTATTCTCACTCAATGCATAATCAGAATGACCAGTTCTCTTTCTGTACCTTTTTTAACCAAATCATTCTGTGAATTCTGTCAGCAAACAAGCATAACAAACTCCTGTTCTAACAGACACATTTTAAATTACAATGAGGAAAAAAATGACAAAGAAAATGAAGTCTTCATGAGAGATTGCAGTGTTTGCTTTTTGCTTCCATCACACTGTACCCATTCTAAAAAGAAAAGTAGATTATTTTTTTAGATATGGTCATAAATAATTGTGTGCACAGTTCACAGAAAAATCAACCTGAAACTTCATAACACAAGACTTAAAAAATGAAAAAAAAAATGTATGAAGTGATTTCAGTCTACTACTGAATTGCTGGGCAGCAGGACATAATGAAATTAAAGGATGCATAGCAGACTTGTAATAAAATACTGCCCTTTTAATTAGGAACAGTTTAATTAGTGACAATATTGTATAAAGACAAAATTTTTAATGAGCTATAGCCAAATGGAAATTTGCCTTCTAAGTCAATGAAAAGGTGATCTTCAACCTATATAAGGACTCCAGCTTAGGATGGACGTAGAAGGAAAATCTTATGTACATAACATAACATAATGAAAAAAAGCTTTTGTTTTATTTTTTTTCCCTCAATCTCTTAGCAAAGTAAGCAATGAGTGACCCACCCAGGTCCCTCTGCACCATCAAAAGCTTTTGGACTACTACTGCTGCTCCAACATACTATATAGAAATTCTTGTGCTTTAGGGCATAAGTCAGTCATTAAGCCTTCAAATACAGCTGGTTTCAACAGTTTTCATAGGACTAGCTTTCACTGAAATATGAAACCTTGCCAAAATCAACATGTTTAAAGAATCAGGTCAATTGATTAAAATTTTCTTCTGAAAGAAAACTGGAAAGGTATCCAATGTTTTTGATACCTTTTACAGTCATACATGTAGAATATTTTTTTTTCCTGCACCCATCTTTCTGTGATCTTTGTGCATTCAAATTCTCTTTTCATCATCAATTCAAGTTCTTGCCGTTGTACTTGTGTATTTCACGTAGGCATAAGCATATTAGAAACTATAAATTATTTTACGTATTCCTATGCTGGAAATTGCCTATGTTCTCTTACAAATTATTTCCAACTATCTTAAAAAGGAAAACATTGCATCAGAAATATCCCGTCACTGTGTAATCCTGTCTCATGTTAGGAAAGGGACCAGTGACTTTACTTCCCTGTTTCCCTTTTCCATATTGTCTTAAGTGGGATAAACCAGCAGATTTTTTCCATTCGCTTCCACTTCCACTCCAGTTATGGCTGAAGTTGTATTACTACAATAATGTTTAGAACAATTCATTAGGTGGCCAGTGTTCAAAATGCAGTTTAAAAGACTAGAAAAGATTAAATAACAATGGACAAATCTTCTTTCAGGGCAGGGTGTTACCCTCCTTTTCAGCCTTTACATGCTCTCATTACCCTCACACTGGCACAGCTTCTTTCCATCTCTCTTGATCTGGAAAATGGGGTTGAAGATGTACTAAGAAGCTGAAGCACTGTGCTGTCCTGGAGTGTTAGTGGCATAAACTCTTCAGAAGACTAGGTAATGAGCAGAAGGAGGAGAAAATAGGAAGCACTGTATCACTCTTCTTTTTCTTTTGCAGTTATGATTCAACAAATGCATCCAAGTAATAGTTCACTTGTTTTTTTCCCCCACAAAAAGCTCAAAATTTAACAATGATTAAGCATAAATTAATTCCTGATTCAATTTATTCATCAACTAATATTTTATATGTTTTATTTTTAATCTAATCTATTCTCATCCCTTTTTCTTCTTTGAAAAAAACATCTTTTTTATGTCTGAAATAGGCTCTGCTACAGCTTTGGTCTCTTATCACTTATGGACAAGAGAGGGAAAGCCAAACTGAAGTTAGCACTAAAAAAATCTATCAAACTGGGTAGAAGTTTTTTTAGTGCTAGAATATAATCTGGTTTTAAACTTCAGTCACTTCTATAGGCATTAACATAATTTCTAAATTAACCAAATAAAAGTAAGAAAAAAATGTAATAAGCCTTAGTTCAAGTTTAGAAATCTTGTCAAGATGCACATCCTAATCAATATGTCTTCTTTTTCTGCAAATAGGAGCTGGTGGTGTGAACCTTCCTTTTACCTCCTGCCAACAACACTTCCACAATTGTAAGCATCCTGTGTGCACTATCTATTGTGAATCACAGTCAACCTATGTCTTATTTACTAAAGCAATCATTTTCACAAAATTGGAAGAAATAATTTTCCTTGCTTACCTCTTATAGTCAGTCTTTGGAAGTGATCTTGTAAAAGGGCATAGGAAAAAGAGAGTTTTAGCATGTAAGAGGTTAGAGAACACTTATCATCTGAGAGTTTTTTCCTTTCTTTTTTTTGGTAAAAAACCCAAATGTTTCTGAGTGTAGAACAAGATCTCAGCAAAAATGGACTCATGATTTTCTTGAGAGACCAGTAAATCTCTTGAGCCACAAGGTGTTGTGTTTGTTATGCAGAGCAGTACTCTCTCTTCCTTTTCTCTCCTGAAGCATCAGACTTTGCAATTCTTACCCAGTCTGATATGAATTAAAAAATAAACAATATCAGTATTGTTCTTTTCCAAGTCTCCAAATATCTGTGCCTACTGAAAAATCTATAGTTATCTGCAGTTTTGTTGTGTTTCCTTAGAGGATTTTTTTAATGTGTTTGCCTGAAGAAATCAGTTAACCTGAACGTTGTTTCCACGGAGTGAGTGGATTTAAAGGAATGAACAGTTTTGTTTGCAATGTTAATGCCAAACACCATGTCCATTAATAGAACACTGGATAATATGCCAGGAGCCTTCCAGCCATGCTTTCACATGACACCAGCCCTTCTCTCAGGAAAAGAGCAGTGTTTTCTGAGAGCTGTCCAGGAGCAGGAACTGCTTCACAGGGATCAGAGGAAGGGTGACATGTACATTGGTCTTCTGCTTAGAGGAATTATTCCTGACATCACCACTAATTAATGGTATTCATGTGTTAAATACAGCAGCTCAAGAGGTAAGTTTGCATTTTCTAATAAAGTTAGGGGTATGCTTGAGGAGTTCTTTAGCTCCTATTTACGTAGCTTACTGTCAGTGAGAGGAGAAAACACTAAAGCCTTCACTAAGCCTATTTCCTTATCTGCAGTAAGTTGTACGCTGTGACCATTTAATTTTATTATTGCTAACTGCACTAAGCCATTGATTAATGCTATTATAAGCTGACTTTACACTGATTTAACTAAAAGTCTATATCATGGTTTAACTACTGCCACCAGCACACAGCCACTTTCTCACTCCCTCACCTGTGGGTCTGAGGAGAGAATTGGAAAACTTAAAGCTGGAGAACTCATGGGCAGAGATACAGACAATTAAACAGGAAAAAGAAAAAAAAAAGCCACACACACAAGCAAATCAAAACAAGGAATGAATTCATTGCTTCCCATGGGCAGGGAGGTGCTCAGCCATCTCCAGGAGAGCAGGGTCCCATCACATGCAATGGCGACTAGGGAAGACAAACACCATCACTCCAAATGTACCTCCCTTTCTCCTTCTCCCCCAGCTTTATGTACTGAGCATGATTCCATATGGTCTGGAATAGCTTTTGTGGTCACTTTGAGTCACTTGTCCCAGCTGTGTCTCCTCCCAACACTCCAGCACCACCAGTCTCCTCACCAGCGTGGAAGAACAAGAAGCAGAAAGGCCTTGGCTCTGTGTAAGCCCTGCCTGGCTGTAACAAAAACACCTCTATATTATCGACTCTGTGTTTAGCATAAATCCAAAACACATTCACATACCAGCCACTATGCAGAAAATTAACTCTAGACCTGCCAAAACCATCACAGTCTCATACTTTAGCATTTTCCCTGGTCCTTCATGGTTTCAAAAGCACTGGAGAGAATTCCTAGGTAAGTGCTCAGTTCCTAAGTCAATGTTAACTGAGATTTTGCAGACTCATTATTAAAGATACCTGAACTTTCAGATGCTATTATTTCTTTATATGGTGCATTCATAATAACACAAATCATAGTTTGGGGAAAGTGGTACACAAACTACCAGAGGAGCTGTCATGTGATAAAACAGAATTTGTAAAAATTCAGTCCTTACAAATTCCATGCTCAAAACCTAAGTATGTCGTATTTACGTGATGGACTCAGTTTGGCTATCTGTTCCCGCTGTCATTCAATTTTGTCTCAAGAAGAGCTTTAGACACATGTGATTCTTTCTTCCACTCATCTTTCTGCCTCTGCTTGCCAAGAAAGTGAAAGGCAGATTTTTGCCTAGATGGGAGGCATGATGGGATCTGGTTGGGTCATCAGCCAAATCACATTAGGGATTAGGAATTTGGGAAGCACTGAAGACCGTCTCACTTCATAGTTCAGTTGTAGCCTCAGGCTCTAAGTACCTAAACCTGTTTTACATTTTCTATTTGATTAGTCTTTTAAATCCCAGTAGAAATGCACCGTGTAGAGAAGCAAGCAAAAGTTCAAGACTGGGTTCTGAAAGAACTATATTTATGTTATCATTGATTTGCCTTGTAGTAATTAGCAGGGACTATCAGTGGCAGTGTTAGCTTGGGTGAAATGACATGCTGATTCAGGTGCATTGCCTTTGATCTCTGCCCTTTTGTGGAACCTGGTGCAGTTATAGTACAGACTCTGGAAACTACAGCATATATGTTTTACTCTATTTTACTTTGATAGGCAGTGTACCCCAATATTTATCTGTTTATTCTTTTTGCTCTAGGCTCTTGTCATGATAGTGTTATTCATGTGTTGCTAGGACACTGACATGTTGGAAAAGAGAGAGAAAAGTCACAGCTGTGTCCTCCTTATGCCAAAACCTTTAAGGCAGAATCTGAGTCGCTAGACAGAGATATATTTACTAAATTGGGACCAAGACGGTATGTTCAAGGCGTCCCAAAATAGAAACTTCAACCCCTTGGAGAGCCAAGCAGGTTTTCATATGTAAATGTCCTCAGTCAGCAGAAAGTTTAAAGGAAGCAAGGAAGGCAGAAATGTCTGAAAATTGTTAGGGTATACTCTGTATATGGAAAGAAAAAAAGCACCATTCAAGTGCAAAAAGTGAGACAAATTTTCTTGCTCATAATGAAAAGTAGTGTATTTGTAGTTGTTACAGAACACTCAACACCACAGTAAAGTTGACAAGTTAAATCAGAGTACCTTCTTAAAAAAAAAAAAAAAATTATTAACTCCTCAATCATTAAAACTCTTCCCTTTTTGGTGCACCAGTCTTGGACTAACAGTCTTGTGAATACTTGGCTCTCTATTTCATGGGAGGGTTTCACACAAAAATAGAACTGGGCTTGTTTGCTGTTAGATTTGATTCAAGCATCTGCTCACAGGTCTAACAGAGAGAGGTGTGTGAACAAATGTACAAACGTGGAAGGTGATTAGAAGGAAAAGACACGTAAGTTGTAGCATGTCTGTAGATGAGAGAGGATAAATAGAGCAACAATGGGGATGAAAGCACACATATGCACACAAGCATGCAGGGTGACTTGAAAAGTTAAATCGTGTCTCAAAGTCCTGATAGTATCAAAGCAAATGATTGATTTGTCAGTGGCTGGGACGGTAAGAGTTTTTGAAGGGATGAAGAACAATTGTGGTTCTAAAATTAAGGTGGGAAATCTTGTAAAATTCATCTAAAAGAGAAAGGAATAGGATGTGGGATTTCCTCATGGCTTATTATTAAAGCAAAGAATTCAAAAAAACAAGGGCCATGGAAGAGATCCTTAAAAATTAAAGAGATTTTATCTTAAACATCACTAAACTGAAATCAGCAGCAGACATAGAATACTTAAGATGTAAACAAATACACTTATCATTTTTTAAAAATTCCTAACAGAAAATCAGAGCGATAATCCAATTAAATTTTCATTAAAGGACATTGCATGAATTGTAACTAGTCTAATGTACACAAAACATGATCTTTCAAAGAAAAGCAATAAAGTTGCCAAATAAACCCATGAATTTCTTAAATAAACTGCATTGCAAATTCGTGGAATGCAACAAGTCAATGTATTTCATTATTCAACAAAAACACTAAGAGCTGCAAAACAATTCATTATGTACATAATTCAGTATAGCCCCCAAAAATGCGTTAGCCTTTGTTTCTTTTCATTGTATCTTTGCATTTCCTTGGTGTCTGGAATGGCAATGTTTGTACTACTTTAAAAACGGGGAAAAAAAATACGGAAATAAACAAATGCCATATTTATCTATTCTGAAAAATGCTGTATTTATCTATTCTAATGGGATTTGAAACATATATATATACTTAAAAGGTCTGGTTTGTACTCTGGGTGTATCCAATTTGCAACAACTCTTTCATGCAAAGAGGAAATTAAGGAGCAGATTGTTAAATGGAATATAAACATGATTTCACTCAGGCTTGCTAATACATCAGGATGAAAGCCGACACTCTGCTTTATTTAAAATTATTCTAAACAGTGCATGTCAAATATTTTAGACATTATTGAAAATGGCTGTCACATAAAATGTAAAAGGGCTCCACATATATTCGGCGTGGCTTTACTGTCTGAATGCGTGAATCTCTACACTGACACAAAATTGCTACCCTGTCAGCATGTAAAAGGATGGATCATTTAATCTCTTTAGTGATGAAGTTTCGAATCCACAAAGCACAAGCTATCAGTCCTTTGAGATGATTATGATGCCTCGAACCTGACAGCTTGTGATGACAGCTTTCACAAATTCTGGAAATCAAATTGTTCCTGCATCTAACAGAAGAAGGCAGGTGTGTACATAACAGAAATGGATGAGGTTAAACATGGGGATAGCGTGATCTTTATGTTCAGTGTAATTGTTAGAAGTTATACCAGGGAAAATTATAGATTTTGGTTTTGAACCTCTTCATGATATACACAGATGAGGGCACCAATAACCCTATGGTTATTGGTATGGGTAAAAGGTTGGCCAGGAAAGGAATATCAAGATAAACAGATGGCTGTACCATTGCCATATGGCTCCTCGGAAATTGGACGACGCTATGGCATTTTGCCACAAGATAGATCTAGTGTTATTTCTGTGCCAATATTTTAAGCAATGCAAGGAAAGAATACATAACTATCTGCAATTAGCTGTGTTATGTAAATATAAAAACCTAACTGGTTTATGGGAAATTTTGTAGTCTGATATGTTTCTGAAATACAGATAGCAATTCACTGGGAAGTTATTTGCTTCAGTTCTTCATTTTTCATAGTTTTTACTCAGAAAAATGTGTTAAATAAACTAAGTTGCTGTGCTGATGAGGCTTAATTTCACAGTTTATCTCTTTGTACAGAACAAAGAAATTGTCTGTGAAACAGTGTTAGCAGTGCTAAAAAAGCAAAGGAAAGCAGAAGGATACTACAGAGCATTCAAAATAAGGTCAGTAATTCCAAAACTCAGCTCAGCTGGATAGCTGCATACATAACAAAATTATTCAGATATGACCTTGTACTCAAGGTCAAAGGTTTGGTGTTATCACAGAATGAGTACTTAGTAGGACTTTCTCATGGTTCCAACACTGCTGGCTGACATATCAGGTCTATTGCTACATTTTCATGTATGTTGCACTCAATCAGGATTTTGCACTGGCCCAGACATATCCTTAGGTTTAGTTCATACTGGTATTATTTTAAGAAATAAATAGAAGTACAACATAAGGTACAAAAATACAGAGGGTGTGTCCACTTCATGAAATGGTAACTTGGCTTCTGATGTTATAATAGCAACAAGAGGGCTTTAAAAAAAATTTAGGGAACAATAAATGAGTACAGGTATTCCATTATTTGTGTACTTTAATCCAAAGCACAAAGCTTATGTTTTATTAATAAATTACACTCTGGGCAGATCAGAGGGAAAGTTTCACTTATAAGGACTCTAATAACTCTCAGAAAACTGCAATAAATATTACCTAGTATGCAAAATCATCAGGATGTCTTTAAGACACAAAACCAAGCAAGAAGACACAGAAAGAAAACCAAGAAAAAAA